ACCAACAAGATTGTTATCAAGTTTGCTTTATTTTCCACTGTAAGGCGGCAGCTTTTATCTGAGCATAAGTCATCTGGGGCGGCATCATGTTATATATTTGGGATCTTCCAAAACTAAAGTTTATAAAAACATACTTGTGATTGTCGTTGGCTCAAGACAGATTAAATTCTTTGGCTAGTTTGTTAATAGAAAATGATCTTGTAAAGAAGATAAATGTCGAAAGTGCCATGAAAAAATTTGAAGATCTAAAGGCTAGAAAAAATATTTTAGGTAGGATATTGAATGTTTTCTTTAGCTTGTATTAACTTGTATAATATCCTCGTTATTCTACATATTCTGGGCATGACGATATCCTCTGATCTGGTTTTGAAGAGTGTGGAACTATCTCTTAATTGCTGTTGTTCCCAGGTCCACCTTGACCCTGGGTGGTAGCACCAGTTAGGGTTCCAACTATAGGCAAATAGTTAACCACCAAACTGGTGTGAAAACATGAAATGATAAAAATTTTGATAGTAAAAATACCAGCAACACATTTTCATTGTTAAAAAAAAAAAAAAAAAAAAATTCCCAAGAAAATCAAATTTCGGCATTAAATGATCCATGAGGAGTTGATATGCTGCTAAACAAAAAAAAAAAAATTTTTAAATTATTCTAAATTTTCAGTTTTTCTCCTTGTGAAAAATTTTAAACATTATACTTGTAGGGGTGTCAAACTTCAACATGCACAGTGTGCCAGCAACCCTCAGGCAGTCACTGGGACTTAGTCTAAGTCACTTAGTTGTTATTTAGAAGTGTCAAGCTTGAAAATGTGCTATCATCATTGATATCTGCATGTTTTTTGTTTTTTTTTTTAACTTGTGGTGGGGAGATACTAACATTTTTGAGGTTCGAATTATTTACTTACATTATTAGGACTGTTATCCTCATTTTCATTGCCAGGTTCACAATGTTTCAGCCTTTGTACATTCTAGCCTTCTCCAGGTGATTGGAATTTCGAACCAAACCCTTTATTTCATCAGAATTATTTATTTAAATTAAGAATAAACATACATAATTTTATTTTATGTAAGTTTATTTACTTAAATTATTATATCCATTTGCCTGTTAAGAAAAATGTTTTTGTAAACCCACCTCAGAAAAAAAAAAAAGTTTTTCATATATAAGATGGATGCTAACAAAATAGAAATTAAAACACTTTAGATAAATTATCTTAAAAATCCAATATTTGTCCCAAACAATTTTTTAAAAGAAAAATAGTAGCTTTTAACATTCTGGAGGTGATTTTGTTTGCAAAGAAAAAAAAATTTATCCTGCCACTGCAAATGATTTTGATGAATGATGGCATGCTTGAATTTTGCAATTGTGTTGTCATATCCTGCTATGACAACAGAAAATGGCCATGACTGAAATTAAGTAGTGCAGTAGAGAAGCCTGGAAAACAATGCAGTGGAATGGAAAGTAGTGAATAATGCAAAGTGTTAAAGGTTAAGTATTAATTAGATTTTGTAAAAATTTTTGCTTTTTGCAAAAAGTATAATAAAAAAATAAAAAATAAAAAAAAAAAAATTTTTCCTGCCAGTCAGCCTGTTCAATGATCAACTTCCAGTATCTTTAGCCATACTGGGTAAGATGATAAACTACATCTGGCAATAAGGCCTCTGATCAGGAGGCTTTGAGAAGCATGGAACCACCTCTTAATTGCTGTTGTTCCCAGGTTCATACTGATCTGAGGTGGTAGCACTTGTTAGGGTCTCAGCTATAGGTAAATAGTTAAACCCCCCCCCCCCAAAAAAAAACTAGGGTCAAAACATTATGAAAGTGTAAAAATAGGTTTTAATACCTGAAATACTTTGAAAAAAAAAAAAAAAAAAAAAAAAATATTACCAGCAATACATATTTGAAAGAAAATTATGAGAAATAGATTTTTAAAGAAAAAAAATATTACCAGAAATAGATTTTTGAAAAAAAAATATCAACAATAAAAATTGTCGGCATTAAATAACCCATTGAGGTTGATATGCCATAAAACAAATCAAACCACACCAAACCGAACAATTTTCTTTTTTTTTCATTATCCCCCCCGACAAAAAAAAAAAAAAACACTGTATCAGGATAATTCTAAAACACTATGAAAGTGTAAAAATAGGTTTTAATATCAGCAATGAATTTTTGAAGAAAAAAATTACCAGCAATACATTTTTTGGAAAAAAAAAAAAAAATTAGCAGCAATAAAAATCTTGTAGACATTAAATAACCCATTGAAGTTGGTATGCTGTAAAACAAACCAAATCGGTATCTTTAGAAGTGTATTGTATATATGAGTTCCACTTGAGGTATGGAGTGAACTTCTGTCCCAATACATTCAAAGCAGGAAGAAGACTCATTGACATTTTTTTATTTTAAGAAACATAAATGCAACTAGAATGGTAATATTAGCTGATTCCTTAAATGAAAACATTGTGCATTCATTGACCAAGCAGGCAGAGCTTCTCAGTTATACTTTACTTCACACCTTGGACCTCAGGCTGGGATCAAAGTGTAGTATCTGTTCTCCTCTCTAATGGTCATAGTAATATTAATCACTAGCAGTAGAGCTCGGGGATGTAACAGTAAGAGATAGATCAAGTATCGACCATTATAAAGACTGAAAAATAAAATTGACAATTGTTTAAGGTGGACGGACATGCATGTCTTAATTAGTTTTTTTTTTTTTTTTGTTTTTTTACGAATTGGTCAAAACCAAACTCAAACAAAAACATTGTTTTCAATCGTTATGAGTCTACCGATTGAATAGAATCTTATTATAAACAATTGTCTTGTAAATAGAATTTTTAAAGCATTCTGAATGTAAAAATAAAGAAAAGTGTGCAAGACAATAAGAAACACTACCTGCCAAAAAAAAGTGAAGTTTTGTTGAAATCGGTTGAAAAATGTAAGAAATCCGATCCCATATATAAACAAACACACACACACACCCACAAACAACCTGGGTTTTATAATAAGTATAACTTGATATGAGTCATCCCCCTTTAATTCTTGCGATGCCTCTTAATCATGTTTTCAAATTGATTTCATGCAAAAATTGTTTTTCCAATTTTTGGCGCTGTCAGAACCACCGCAAGGTAATTTTACATAGTCCTGTGAAGTTTTGAAATCGGTTGAAAAATGTAGGAAATCCAATCCAATATATAAACGTACAGGCACACACACAACCTGGGTTTTATAATAAGTATGATTTCCTTATAAGGAAACATTTGGCATTCATTTACCGAGCAGCCAGTGCTGCTTTCAGTTTAAATTTATAAAATCTTTCTATTAAAACAATTTTTCAGGAAAATAGGTTTCTCAAGTCCCCTGTTATTGCTCTTCATTACTAATGAGAGATTCATTCCTAAACTCGTTTAAAATAGTGTGAAGAATCTACATCTTGATGATGTCATTATTTTCTCTTCAAGTTATATATGCTATCCATTTTATTTTTTTCTTTTAATCATTTCACCCCAAGCAAGGCAATAAAGAAGCCACTAAGATATGTTGCTGTGGAGAAAATGCAATAAAATGAACAGGATTCCAAGAGACAAATGATTGACGCTGCATTTAAATTTTTGAAGATCACAGTTGACAGGAAAGAAGATCCAAGTTAACTGCCCAATTCACAATTGCATGAAAGTCCATATCTGTCTATATTTCTGAGATGAGGTATTATGTACATTATTTACATCATTCGGACTATTGTCCTCATCTTTGTCACCATATCTATTACATTTCGGCCGTTGTACACTCCAGCCTTCAGGTGGTTGGAATGTTGAACTGAACCCTTCGCTCACTAGTGCCATGTTTAATGGATGTCAGTTATCTCCTGTTAATTTTTTTCTCTAAAAGGTAGCCAGGTATTGAACTCACACTCTTTGGGTTCTGTCACTGGATCTAACCAACGCCTTTATCCACTATGCCATGTGTCCTTGAGGACATTTGTGAATGAATTTCTGGGTATTATAAACCTAATGTCTTCAGCAGCCATTTTTACCGGTGCTCAAATATAATATAACAATGTAAATAATGAAAGTCCATGTTTGCCAGAATTATTTAGTGGGTGCAAAATTATGGCCAGTTAAAAAATTGGCGATTTGTTGAATATTTGTCAGTGTTAAAATCTCTCACTGCTGTTGACTCCCGAGGAGTACGGTAGCTACAACTCTCAACACGCTTGCCATTGCTGTTGTGGTTTCCATAAAAAGTAGATTTCTTATAGGATAGAGTTGCTGGCCCTATAATGAACTGGTTTTGAATCCAGAGTTGTCCTTCTCCTAGACTGGTTGCTAACCAAGGTTAAAAAGCAGTCTGCCTTAACCTATAGCTGGGATGGTGGTGGAAAGAAGGTGCATGAAAGTGAATGTAGGGAAATTGTTTTGAATTCGAACTCAACTTGCCAATTTCTTGTTTCAAGTCACTAAACATTACACCACCTGCACATCCAGTGTTAAAATATGGAGTAAATGAGTTTGGTACTACTAGAGATATAAAAACTAACCTCTTTAAAGAATTAGGTGCCTGAACAAGACACTGAATAGTTTTATCAAATTTTTATCAGGTTAGAATCATTTGCTTCTTTTTCTTTTTTCTTAACTAATGTTCACCCAATACAAGGCCTGAGAGCCATTCAAGGTAGAAGTCTACTTTGTGGAGTCGTATTAGCATAAGAAAGTGAAGTTATGAAAAGTTTTGGCAGGGACATTAGAAGTAGACTTTAGAAGGAACCGGAAACCTAATCCTAAACAGGGAACAAGGGATAAACCTCTACTCCTGTTCTAAAAACTGTGGAGGAGTATGAACTGGACAAGCCTTCAGCTAATCGACAGGGGTGGACTGTTCTCATTCCACTACCCATATCTAGGAATATCTCTAGTTCTTATTCCCTAGAGATAATGGGCAGTGACTGGAACTCTGCTTTCTGATTTCCTATTCTGAGCCATTATCCATTATACCACCTGCACATCCAGGCTTACATCACTTGGTATTCCTAAGTGATCATTGATCAATGTACTGACCAGGCCTGACATTGCTTAACTTTGGTGATCATATGAGAACAGGTGTGTCAACAGGTAAGCTTGTTTTTTGGTTTTTTTATGACTTATCAACCCTTTTTGGGCTATTTAAAGCCAAAACCCATCTTAGATTGTAAGATTAATTTTTTTTGTTGTTGTTTGCAAGTGAATATTGCATTATTAATTTTTTGAATGAAACAATGATTTTTTCCAGATACAAGTCCTGCTATTTAACCCATAGCTTGCGGGGAGAAGGGATGTATTCATACCTTTCCCAAAGGTATTTGTGTATAGGTGGATGTAACAAACTCAAACTTTCCAATTTCTCATTCCGAGCCACCATGCATTACACCACCCACACATCCCAAGCTGTATGTGCATGTTTTGTTTTGGCTTTTGTAGGAGGATCAATTTACAATGAGTTTACATAGCAAATTGGACCACCTCTTTTAGCACTTATGAATTTAATTTGTTTTTTTTTTTCATTTTTAAATATTCATGATCTGGGGTGCTTAACTGAAAGTAATATGGAAAAAATATTTTGCAAATATGATAGATCAGCTGTCAGGCCCTGGTCATCAAGATATTTGGAAGTGCACCCGTATACTTTGGTATCATCTGTATATATATTTACTAGATCATAAATATCAAGCGAAAAGAGGTTATGGCTGAGGATAGGGCCTTGAGGGAGGTACTGGTCTTCAAGATATTTAGAGATATGCTGTGGTACCATCTGCGTATATATTTACTAAGGATGAGACAATATTCTTGGGCAGATCATTAATATCAAGCAGAAAGTGGGTAGGACTGAGAGGGCCTTGGGGAGGTTATCAAGATATTTGGAGATACAATTTACTAAGGATTGAAGAGTGTTTTTTAAATATTTATTCACTGAAATAAAAATAGACAGAATAAATATACAGAGTTAACACCGGTACAAAAAGAAAAAGATGTTTATTTTTTTCTATATAATACAAAAATATTTACAGTCGTACACACAAATTGTAATATGCAGGTGTGTAATATATCAAAATCCTTTCTCTTCATACTTGATAGAATTTATAACTTTAACTTTATATAAGGACGGATTTTATTGGTTAATATAAGGATGGATTTAATTGGTTAATGGTTTAGTAAAAGAAAAAACGTACTTTTAGTCATCAGTCCAAAAAAAAAAAAAAAAAATGGAGATCAATAATCAATGATTTTATAGACTGATAAAGTACTCAAAAACAAATTTCTTAGGCTCCATTTTTCATGGGAACATGTAGATTATAAAAGGTTGGCAGGGTTCAATAGTGCTTAATGAAAAAGAATGCTTTGTACTGCATACATCATTTCTCATCACACCGTTTTATATATGCAGTCAGTGCCAGATTTATATATTGACGAGTATGGGCTGCAACCCAGTAGCCTCAAGATTAGAGACCTCCCAAAGGACCCCTAGTCTTTGACCCCTGATAAAAATAAAAAGACAAGAACAGAGATTTGTTCATTTTCAATTTTAATTGGGCTCCTTTGAACTAATTTAAAACAACTTAAGAGTATTTAGGTCCTGCTAGTTAAAGTGGGTTTTTAAATTTAATGGGGCCACTTGAAGCAGGGCTCCATTTAGATTTTGATGCATCTTTTTTTATATACATATAGATTTTTGATTTAACTTTTTTAGTTTTGCACAATTTTGTCTACTTTGCTCAATTTTACACAATTTATTGAACACGGACACATAATAAATGCAAAATTGCTCAAATTAGACAAAATAGGGACAGACATATATAATGAAGCGGGACCCCAAATTTTATTAGCCCAGGGACTTCTTGCGGTGTAAATCTGACCCTGTATGCAGTATATCTATCTTTCTTTTTCTTTCTAATCCTATCTTTCATATTTTTTGTTTTTTGGTCTCTTAGTATCTTTCTTTCTATCTTTCTTTGTAATCCTATCTTTCATATTTTTTTTGTTTTTTGGTCTCTTAGTATCTTTCTTTCTTTTCTGTCTTTCTGTCTTATCTTAGCTAAGTATGACACAAGGCCAAACAAGATGTCTGTAAAAAAAAAATATATCAAATAGCATGTTATTCTTTGTTAGATTCAGGATTTTTTTTCAGCTTATAAACAGAAGATCAAATTTTCTACATCATAACATATGAAATCTGTTGCATGTTTAATTTACATCAATTCCATTTTGAAAAGCCAATGTCAATATACATGCAAGTCATATAATAACTCAGTTTATAGTAATGCACATGTTAATTCTTGACCACTGACAATCCTTTGTCTTAATTTTAAATGCATTTAAATCTAGAAAACAATGACTTTATATATTTTTTGGTCCCACAGCCTGCACTTCCTCTTATTAATGAGATATTCCGTTTTTGTAGTAACTGAATTCTGACCTGAAATCTTCACTGTATAATGTTTCATTTATGATTAATATTCAGCACAAATTAAGTTCATTGACTGACAATGATATATTCATAATGCTTTATATATATATATATATATATATATATATCGTTTACTTTTGAATCTAAATTTAAATTCAAATAATTTTAAAAATATTTTTTAATTAATTTTTCAGTTCTTTACTTTTTGAACATATGAATTTGAATAATATAAATTATTAGTTAAATATAATATTGTAGGCAACAATAATTAAATAAACAAGTTTTAAAATAAAATTTTGAATCTTCACCACAAGAACGCAAAATAATGGTCAGATTGTATTTGCACCTGAAGATTGCAGCAACTGCATGAAACTCTGAGTCATGTTATCAATCTTGAATATCATGTATATTCACTTATATATATATATTCTTCATGTTTTGGGTATTTAAATTGTATCTTATTTTTGTGTTGTTTTCAATAGGAGCATTTATTCTGAGCTCTTATATGTTAAGCGCAGCTGGAATTCAAGTGAGTGTCTATTTTTAAAAAACTTTTAACACTCCATTCTTACTGTTAAATAAGATGAGGTTGATAGTAGGAGAGAGATGATTAATATACAGGACCTATCATATATATATATATATATATATATATAGACATTTGTTTTTATGTTTATACATTCTTTTTATAGATAAAAATATTTAAGTAAATGCTCTGTTTATAATAAACAGTATTAATAACATTTACCGGCCTGAATGTCTGAGAAATTTTCAGAGGACGAATATTTTCTATGAAAATTTCTCAAACATTCAGGCTGGTAAATGTTGTTTAATACTGTTTATTATAAAAAGAGCATTTACTTAAATATTTGTATCTATAAAAAGAATGTGTAAACATAAAAAAACTAAAACATTTTACACTTTGTCATACATCTTTCTTCCAAAATTGTTCTTGATATATAAAAAATATATATATATATATATATATATATATATATATATATATTGAACAAACTTTATCAAAGAACTTCAAACATAATCTGTTTTACAGTAGTAGTGGAAAAGCACCGCAATCTATTTGGGATGTTGGGCATAACAGAAAAGAGAGGCTAAACAGAGGACAATGTTTCTTCATTTCAAATTATCTGGGTTGAACAAAGGTTTTCTTATTTCAAATCTTCCGACCACCTCTGACAGTACAAGAATAAATATTCTGTGCATGTTATTTTATAAATATGATGGATGTGTCCTTTGACCATGCCATCCTTGACCATTTTGGTCATGACATATTGCTGAATACATTACATAGCTGCACTAAAAAATTGTAAAGGCATTATTTATTAGCTATCTAACAAAAGAACAAAATGTGACATATAGTCTGTTTTTAATGTGAAGAAGACCATAGACAGGTAACATTTTATGGTGGGTCATCTGGAAGCAACTAGGTTCCACCATCTATTGCCATGTTCCTCTTGATGCAATGTGGGAAGTGCTGTCCAAGAGAGGTGTCTTCAGTCACTAAGCTTCAGTAAATTGTAGGCTTTGTCCCAAAAATGACAACAAAAAAAAAGGTATTGTTCTGAGGACAATTCCAACTTTTGTTCAGATAATTGAACTGGTTGATGTTCTTAACATTCAGACCAGGGTACCTTGACTTGGTGTAATAGTTAGCAAGCTTGTCTCACTAGAACAATTACAACTGAGTAGTGAGTTAAATCCTCACTGGGTGTCCCATACTTTTGGCCTTCTTCCATGTCTAAGCTATGCTTACAAAATCAACTTATTTGGATCAATCCAATCTTGAGAAAAAATAGGGTCATTAAATCTAACAACAACTGGATTGGTCCATTTAAGCAGCACAAAGTAGACAGACACCTGAGGTGAATCCAAATGAGGCTCAAGAGGAGTCATGAATGCTTTCTTCGTTAAACAACAAAGAACAAAGTGTTGAAATAAGAGTTTAAGTTTTCAGTTGAAATTTAGAATTCTTGATAGTGGCAAGTATTTCGAAATGAGACACAAAATTTAGCTGTTGCATGATAACTGCAACATCACAACCAGAATATATAGTTTCTAATGAATAACTTTTAAGAAGAGACATTTTTATTCCAAGAGTTATTCAGACTTTGTTATGCTCTTGTTATTACCACAATGTTTCAGTCAATCCATTCTATGTCTACCTTCTATCATTTTGAGAAGAGTCATTATCATTGCAAGAGTTCTTCAGACTATTGAACTCATTCTTTGTATTGCTTTTGTTGTTACCACAATGTTTTAGTCAATCCATTCAATTTGGAAAATTTTGACAAGAGACATTATCAATTGTATCAAAACTTGGTAAGTGAGGGTCTGTAGTAATAACGACAACATAGTTTCAGCTTGGTGCATTCTGTCTACCAAAGTGATACTCCAGCTCTTTCATTCACACATAAACAATATGGCTGACACAGTACTTACATGTCTGAACAATAGCTAAAACAGTGCTTCCGTTTTCTCAGTTCCCAATTACAACAAATTATATTGGCCAAAATATTATGGTAACATCTAATGCAAAAGAAAGAATCAGTTTGGTGATCTAAAGGATGCTTGGAAAAAAATATGATTGATGTGATACAGTACAATACATTAACCTTTTTATAAGTTGTCTTGACCTGTTGGTTCAGTATAATACAACTCACTCTAAATCATTTGGCTAGAAACCCCGATGAAAACAATGAACCTGCAAGATGTAAATGAATTCAGTTAAAGCAGGTATCACATTGCAAAAGCCAAAGATATACCAATACCAAGAGACAGGCCATACCTCAAACACAAAATATATTGATGCAACTAACCCACAGATATGGGCAATTGTGGCTGGAGGACATTGGTCAAGGAAAATATAATTATACATTAAAAAGATATCATTTTAGATTAAGAAAACTTTTTGTGATTTAAATTGAATATATTAAGGTCATCTTATGAATGCATCAACTAATTTAGTGTGGGATTGTAAAGATTTATTTTACTATATTTAAACAGTCTTAGGTGGGTATAAAACATTGTTAATGCTATAGAAATAGACATATTGAAATTGTACGTAACTATATGCAGTTATAAATATGAAAAAAAAATAACAATAAAAAACAACAACAAATAAGGGGAAGAAGAGAAAGGATAATAAAAAACAAAAATAAATCATGTAAATAGGTGAAGCGAAACAACAACAATAAACAAGAAAATAACAGAAAAAGAAGGTTGATTGGTTTTCAATCCTCATTCTTCTGAGCCAATCGAGGACAAAAGTGTAAATTGTGTACACAACGTTTAAAAAAAAAAAAAAAAAAAAAAAAAAAAAGACAAACAATAAATTAAGAACAGTTTTCTTCTCTGAGGTACACTTTCTTTAATAAGATGTTCAATGCTTATCAGCTAGTTTTTTTTTTTATCAATTCACCCCAAGCAAGGCAATAAAGTCACTAGGATATACTATTAAGAAGAGAGAACAATAAAAGAACAAGAATTAAGAAGAGAGAAGAATAAAAGAACAAGAATTAAGAAGACAGAAGATAACTGAAATTTCATTTAATTTTTTTTTTTAAGATCAAAGTTGACTGAAAAGCCAGAAGCCGGAAGAGAGTTCTACAAGCAAGAAGTGTGTTAGAAGAAACTGTTAGCATCAAACTTACAGTTATATCTAGCTATTTAAACTGTAAAATGATGAGATCTTGCTGTCAATCTAGTACTGCATTTAAATGCATAAAGTCTAGGTCCCATAGAGGTAAGTTCGTCAGAACAGCTACTATGAAAATATTTATAGAAAAGGCACAGGAAGGCAACTTTATGGTGGTGGGAAAATGACTAAAGCCGAGACACTAAATCAGGACTAATTAAGTTGTTGATTCTTGTTTGAATTTTATCAAGAATCTTTGGATATATAGCAGTAGCACAAGGCCATATGTCGGAGCAATATTTTAAGCATGGATGAATGGTAAACTTATAGATATGTAAGATAGTATTCAGGAGAGAAAAATTGTCAAACATGATACAGTGAACCAACTGTTTTAGCAGCTGACCTAGCAAAAGATTCAATATAGTCTTTCCACTTCGTGTCAGCCCGAGAAAGCACAAAAATAAGTTACTGCAAAAATTTCTTTTACACTGAACTGGAATCCATGGCATTATGGGAAGGGCTGGAGAACATCAGCGTCCTCGCTTTTTACTGGAACTGAAAACTAAACAAAAGATTAACTTTGTCTTCTTGGCCATAAATCTATGACAATTCTATTGAGATGAGCTGTATCGTTTGCCATTAATTCTCAAATTAAATAACAGATTTTCAGCTTCCATTTTTTTTTTTTCACCAAATCCTGGCTTCTAAAGCTCATTTTATATGTTGAAGTCTGCAGGTCTAATTCCAGAAAATGAGTACAAACAAAAGAAGCAAAAATATGTATAATTTTTATTTTTATTTTTTAATCAATTCACCGAAAGTAAGGCAATAATGCCACTAAGACATAAGAGAGATCCTGAGAGTGAAAGGATACTAGACTTTAAAATGAACCAGAAAAAAAGGGATAAACCTCTACTCCTGTTCAAAAGACCAAGGAGCAGTTTGAACCAAATGATAGGCAAAATTATAAATTATTTTGTTTGCATTACAGGTATTAAAACAAAGCAAGTAGATATAGACTTTAAAAGGTTCCAATGGGAAATGTGCCTTACGTAGAAAGGATAATTGAGCCTTGTTGTAGGTGCCTGCATGACTGAAATTGTAAAAAGCATGCCTGGCTATAAGGTGGTTTCCCTAAAGCAAAAAATGAAGGTGGGTTCAATCCTTGCTGAAAAAGTACATTCTCTTTAATAAGAATTTTGATTCTTATAGACCGGTAGATATCAAGTTCACTGTGTGGAAAAAAACAGCGATGTCTTTTCAAACACATGTACCCCCTAAAAATAACATTTAACCTAAAGAGAAATATGTATTCCTAATAAAATTATTGGCAAACATGGATAATCATGCCTGCAATAAGACGGAGTGTCAAAAGGATGGCTTTTCCCATGACATTGCTTTTATTTTAACCACCTTCACTCTTTGGCAATGTTTATTGTTTTAAAAAGTGATGATTAGAATTGTAATAAAACTTAAACATATCAAAATGAATTTATACATTTTCTTTGTTCTTGAGAATTTTCAACAAAAATAATAATGACTATTTACTTATATTATTTATTGGGATGGTTGGCTAATTGCCAATTAATTGAAACTTTATAAAATGGTAAATAAGGAATTCCTTATTGTTGGTTCACATATTTTAGTAAATTAGTAAAAGTTTATAAATTTATTGATAAAAATTTTGACAATTATTTCTTTATAAATTGATAAATGATAAATATTGCATTACATTAGTTCTAATTGTATTAGTTTTTAGAATGTTGCAAATATAAAATTATTCTTGTAAATAAACAATCTAATAAATAGTGTTTAATATTTTTATTGTAAATTATCAATAAAAAAATATATAAATTCACTTTCATCATATGTTTATATTTCATTCCAATTCTAATCATTACTTTTTAAAACAATAAACATTACCGTGGAATAATTAAAATTAAGTGGTGTCATGGAGAAAAGCATCCTTTTGACACTCTGTTTTTTGGCAGACACATGTTTGTCATTTTTTTTTCTATGCTAAACTTCACACTGATTATGTTCATATCATGTTGAAACACCAGTTCTTTTCAGATCATTAAAGTTAAGCAATGTTGAGCCTGGTTAATATCTATATGGGTGACTGCTTGGGAATTTTTTATTTTTAAAACAATAAGCATTGCCAAAGAGTAAAAGCAGTTAAAAAAAAAAACTGGTGTCATGGGAAAAACCATCATTTGACACTATGTCTTACTGAAGGCACTGTTATTCATGTTTACCAAAATATTAATGAAAGTCTTATAATACAATTCAAAATGTTTACTTAAAAGTCTTTTCACTTGATGAAGGAATCACACCGATAACCCTTTTTTTTAAAGGTTTTTTTTTTCTCTCTATTCTCCTAAACACATAATGGCAAAGAATTACAAAACCATTTTAATCTTTAAAATGACATTTGAAAGGATACAGAGTAAACTCTGAAAGTTGATGAACATTGTTGTGCCACTGATGAAACCCAGAAATTCCCACATTATCAGTACCAACGTCAGAGACAAAGCGATGAAGAGCCTAGAGAGAAAAAAAAAAGATAAATAAAACAAATTATTTATATTCAGATTATTGTCCTCATCTTACATAACAGCTAAGTACTCTTTTTCTTCATGCTATCATTAAAATGAAATATAATTATTTTAAGACAATAGTAATCTACTAAAAGAAATACTTATTTGCATGCAGAAGACTATTGTCCTCATCTATGTTGTTTTAATCAAAATGTTTCAACCATTGTGCCATCCAACCTTCCTCAGGTGTATATTGATCTGGGTAACCAACAGGGAATTCCAAACTGAACCCTTTATTTAATCTACAGGGATAGACTCTTCTCATTCCACTGCCCATGTCTAGATATATCGTCTAGTTCTTATTTTATTTAGTACTTTTCAGTTATTGCTCACCCATTTTCCACTGAGTGCAAGTACACATTACCCAAACCCAGGGATTGATTTCACAAAATCCCAGAAATTCAGTGATAGCAACAACAAAGATGATGACAATAGTCTGAATGTAAATGGTGTAAATAATGATAATTCCTCATCCCAGAAATTCAGTGATAACAACAACAAAGATGAGGACAATAGTCTGAATGTAAATAGTGTAAATAATGATAACTCCTCATCCCAGAAATTCAGTGATAACAACAACAAAGATGAGGACAATAGTCTGAATGTAAATAGTGTAAATAATGATAACTCCTCATCCCAGGAATTCAGTGATAACAACAACAAAGATGAGGACAATAGTCTGAATGTAAATAGTGTAAATAATGATAACTCCTCATCCCAGAAATTCAGTGATAACAACAACAAAGATGAGGACAATAGTCTGAATGTAAATAGTGTAAATAATAACTCGTCATCCCAGAAATACAGTGATAACAACAACAAAGATGTCTTGACCCAGGATATCACTACCTCAAAGCACTTGATGTAGGCCTCTGTGTTGAGTCTGAGAGCCTCACCAACAAATTTGGAAATTCTTTTCTTATCAGAAAAGATCAGAGTGAGTTTTCAAAGCTGCCATACCTTTGTACTTACCATTAGACTCAGCCAACTCTTTTTGAATCCCCTGCATTGTCCTCAGATTGACACCCAAACACTCTGAAATGTTCATAGTGGATCTTCTGGTGCAAATCCCATGCAGTACAGCTTGCCGTTTCCAAATTTCTGGCAGAGTGATTTGTGTCATGGTGCTCTTTTTCTCACAGATGGTGCCCAACTGACCCTACTAAACTGTGCAGTTGACAAAATCAAAAACCAACAATGTACATGTGCAAAATTAAAAATATAAAATGGCGACAATTTACCCATTGCTCTCTGTATGTATGTGTATAAGTATATTATTAATAAAGTATTGTCCCAGCATATTAAACAAAAAAGAATCCAATTAAAAAAAAGTGTCAGTAAGATGGAAGACAAATGAAATTCTCAAAAGTGAAAAAGAAAATGACTGAAATTTAAAGAAGAGGATGAAAATTTCACAGGCATGAAACAAAAAAACATGCTTACTCAACATCGACCTGTTTGTATTCATCTGTTGTGAAGGTTGTGGGCAAAGAATTTTCAACATTGGCATTCTAGAACAAGAGATAAAGAAAAAACAAATAACCACATTTTTTTGTTTAAGAATTTGTATACCCCACCAAAAAAAACATTGTCTCAATATCGACAGAGAAATAAATTGGCAACATATCTCCATATTCTTATCCCAAAAAGTTTCACAAATATTTCTAGTTTCATCGTGAAGAAAGTGTTTCAATGATCTGTGTAATGGTAATATTAGCCGTTCCCTTATAAGAAAACATTCAGCATTCATTGACCAAGCAGCCAGTGCTACTTGAGTTAAATTTCTCTTCACTCCTTGGCCATCAGGTTGGGGATCAAAGTGTAGTATCTGTTCTCTTCATCTATAATGGAAATTCAGGCAGTTTAAGACCATTAAATCTAGCTATTTCCTTATAAGGAAATATTCAGCATTCATTGACCAAGCAGTCAGTGCTCTTGTCAGTTGAAATTTATAAATTCTTTCTCTTAAAACAATTTTTCATGAAAATACATAGATTGCTTTTTCCTGCACTGATGAAGGTCTTTCTTCTTCATTTTTTGTTTGAAATAGTGTGGAAGGTCAGCATCTTGATTATATCATAATTTTCTCTTTGCATTACATGCATCACCCATTTAGATGCTGAAATTAAGTAGGCCAAGAGTGAAGCTTATTAATAGTCCCCCATAAGCAAAAACAAAAACGTCAATATTCAGTTTGTGTGACGACTTGAGTATCAACCACTTTGATATCAAGATCAAGAGACCCATAACTCATTAAGGTTGTGGGGGCACCATATATACTGCAACTGAAGTAGCAGTGGCGTTTCCTGGGCAAGACAGCCTGACGGAGCCCAACCCTCTCCAGGCTGGTTTTGATTTCAGAGTTTTTCCTTCTCCTAGACTGGTTGCTACTCAAAGCAATAGCACTGTTCCTTTCAAACGTTAAATTAGTCATTACTCATTTTTGGCACCATATGCCGGTCACCAAATATCAGTTTTTTGACAAAACTTTTCTTGTATTTATCAGAAAATCATGATCTAGACCTCTATTCCTATGCTTTTTATTGGTACTGAAAATCTCTTAAAAAAAAAATTTAAAAAATGCTGAAATTTTGCATTTAACCCATTGTCTAAATGGGTTAAATGCAAAATTTCAGCTTTTTTCCAGAATTTTTGCTCTTCACTGCAGGCTGTAATTTCTAATCCTAAATCCCAATTTTCTTTTAATTATTTGGTTGATTGATTTGTTTTTATGGCTTATCATACCATTGCAGGTTATTTAAAGCCAGGAAATATTTTTAGATTCTAAGAATACTTTTTTAGAGATAATAATGATTTAGTGATACAAGTCTTGCTAATTAACCCATACCTGGGAAGAAGTGATGGATTCATACCTTTCCCAATGGTATTGCACATAAGTGAATATAACAAACCCAACTGGAATTGGAACTTGGCTCTCCAATTAACAATAAAACCATAAAATCACCTGCACAGCCAAGCTTACAGCACCTGCTTTCCCAAGCAGTCACCCATCTAGATACTGACCAGGTTCAACATTACTTAACTTTGGTGATTGTATAGGAACCAATGTTTCAACATAATATGGCCATAAGCCTATTTTTTAATGTTCCTCTTAAGTACAAATAACATTAATATACTTCCACATTTCATTTTAATCATTTCACTCCAAGTAAGGCAATAAAGCCACTAAGACACAAGGAGTTACTGGGTGTTAGAGAATATAAGAAAAATATAATTATTAAGGAGAGAAGACGATAAAAGAACAAGAATTAAGAAGACAGAAGATAATGATTAACATTGCATTTAAATTTTGGAAGATCAAAGTTGACGGGGAAGAAAGAAACCAGAAGAGAGTTCCACAAGCAAGAAGTGCGATAAAAGAAACTGTTAGTAAAGAATTTATGGTTACATCCAGCCATTTCAATTGTAAAATGATGAGATTGTGTCACCAATCTAGTACTGTGCTTAAATTCATAAAGTCTAGGTACCCTAGAAGAAAGTTCATCAGAACAATTACTATGAAAATATTTATAGAAAAGGCAAAGGGAAAGTGACTGGAGCAGGGATACCAGGTCAGGACCAATGATATTGCAGATTCTTTGGATTTTAACTGAATTGAGTTGAAAATCATTCAGGATGCTCAAAAGTCACAAATGTTGACCTGGATCTATTGTGTGAACCCACCATAGAACAAAAGAATTAGTTTTTTTATAGTGGGCTTTTGTTATGGCTACTAATGATTATGCTCTTGACAATTTAACATATGCTGCATTTAAACAGATTTTTCATTCTATCCCTGAAAGTGATGCATTACTTTCTGAACAACTTGACAGAATTAACAAAATGACAAAAGAATAATGCTTTACCCTGGATAACAAAATCATGATAGCAATCACCAACTGGGAAACAAGAGCTAAAAAACGTGCAGGTACAAGATATGAGATTGTATTCATGATTGTTTCTTTTGTATCCTTACGGGTTCTTCTTTCCTGAAGGTCGTTACCTATTGAATGAATAGAAAAAAAAGCGAGTAAATTTTACATATATAAAAATTGTTTTTTCTATATAACAACAGATACTGTCTTTAAAAGTTTTATAGTTAAAATGTCATTTTTTTTATGAGATTGATGCAAAAGGTCTAAGCAGCATCATTTGTACAATGTTAGAGAAATCTTAGAAGTGTTTTTGAATTTCTTTATTACATGTGCAAGTAGTTAGCTATAGTATTTACAAGCCTTAGAAAAAAAAAAAAAAATTAAAAAACTAGGAAAATGAAATCCACGGGAACTTACAGAAATAAACATGGATAAGTCTTTCTTTTCTTGATTTTCATTTTTGGACAAGATTGCCAACAACTAAACAAAGAGACCATTCAAAAGAGTTGCAGGAGATTCCGAAGTCATCTGAAGGCTGTGGTTGAAGCCAATGGCGATTTTATTGAATAAATTATCTTAGTGTAATTTTGGTAAATATATCTTAAAATGAGATGTCAGTATTGTTTCCATTTTGGCATAATTTAAAATGACAATTTATCCATCGCACTTGCACTCATTTAGTTAACTGTAGCCTCTCTACTTTTTATACTGACATATTTTTGATGCAGTGTCAATATCTCACCAAGAAAATTTGAAATACCTGTTCTTTCCACACAGCTGTGCTTGAATCTTGAATGAGCTTAAGATGTATTTTTTTCTTTCTGCAACTTTTAGAGCCACATCCAATAAAATTCATCTAGACTAAAAAGAAAAAAAAAGAATAGATTTTCAGAAACTCTTTATTCTCCAAATGACATATATATATATATATATATATATATATATATATATATATATGTATATATTTTCCTTGAGGACCTCAAGGTGGTGTAATGGTTAGTAAGCTTGTTTTGCTAGAACAATTACTCTCCAAATGACATACATATATATATATATATATATATATATATATATATATATACTGTGTATATTTCCTTGAGCACCTCAAGGTGGTGTAATGTTAAGCATGATTGTTTTGCTAGAACAATTACGACTGAGCAGTGAGTTTGATCCTCACTGGGTGACCCATACTTTTGGCCTTGTGCCACATCTAAGCTATGCTTGGAAAATCACTATACTGTATATTTCCATATATAAAGTGACCTCTAGATAAGACGAGATCCAAAATCTAGGTTTAATTTTCATAATTTTATCTAATATCTATTAACCAATAATTACGTATGTGGGTGTCTTTTATTCTGTAATGAGAAATAAAGATTTTTTGGGGGATCTTAAATGTTTTATTGCTTAACACCACAAAAAAATACCATATAATGTTACTGAAAAATAAAGTTTGCATGTGACACTAAATGTTGTTATTTAACACCACAATGATAATGAATTTTATGGGGACTGAGTGGCCAGAACATTTGCTTTCCAACTATGAGACCTGGGTTCGAAACTTACCATGCTAGATTTTTGACTTCTTTTAGTCTGGAGGAGGTGATCCCAGCATATGGCACCTTTGGAAAATGCCTGAAAACCATATCACAAGTTGACTCAAGCTTTGTTAGTGAAATTGGATCAACAGAACTATATGAGAACTGTCAATGGCTTTGCTAGCACAAAGTCAAGAAGTCATCATGACTGAGCTTTTGAGCGGGCTGGCCTTGTTGAGACTGTTGATCCTTTCAGATAATGCACTCTCTCCCAGAAACTGTAACTAAGGTCTGCTCAGCATAGTCACAGTATAGACCACAGGTGGGAACAAACACAATGTGCCTGAGCATGTGTCTGTAACAAGGATTGGCTAGCCGCCCTAGTAGACTGACACCCTAGGATACGAGTGGCCAGCCATAAGATAATGAATTTTAATTAGAAATATAGATTGTATGTTATACTAAATGTTGTTATTTAACACTACTATGAGAAATAATGATTGGTGTGAATGCACCCATAAATCTACAAATAAAGAACGAAAGATTTGTTTATGTTGCTTGTATGTGTTGCTCAGCAGAACTTTTAAAAATTATTGTGCAATTGCCTCTTGAATATTGCATTTTAATGTGAAATCAAGAAGTAAAAGTAGTTTTATTACATTTATAACTGTAGCACAGTATTATAATGTGAATTGTTTCAACTAGTAATATTTACATCGATAGTTAACTTACCGAGGCAGTTGCTAGCCTAACAGAATCCATAGTACAAGCATACTAGCCTACTTACCAGTGCTGATACACCACATGATTTAAGATTAGCTTTTGTGACTGTTATATTAGACAACTCCCTTTTTTTGAGGTAATTTTTAAGATATAACGCTCTCCTTATACACAGAAATATACAGTATATATATATATATATATATATATATATATATATATATATATATAGAGAGAGAGAGAGAGTTGTGGCGACTCCAGGGGTCGGGCTTGTTGGGGTTAGCCCAAGTGAGTCAACATTCAAGTATATCTATTTCATAGAAACAAAAATTTTTTGTAGTGCATTGTTTTCATTCTTGACTTCAGCTAGATACAAAATTAATTGTTTTAACTCTGTTGACCGAATATTGACCGAAATACATTTCCTTGATAAAAAAAGAAAGAAAAAGAAAAAAACAAATAAACAAAGTAAGTAAAAAACAAATGAAATAAAATTAATGTGGCTAGTCGGGCTGAGTAGGTCTGAGCCAGATCAAAGGTGGAGACATAAGCAATGTATTTTTTGCTTTAATTTTATAAATAATCTTTTAAAAATCTCAAGTAGGAAATTCTGACAGAAATTTTCTGAAGTTCATTTCAAAAGAAAAGTATAGAAAATAGGATCTAAGCTTTTGACTTACTTAAGTCATCATCAGAGTAGGTAGAGGCAATTGGTGAATTTAGTGAAATTACACAATATCAAAATTTCACTAAACTCACCAATTTAACTTACAGAATGGTCAGGCCCAAAGATTAGTTTTTTTTGTTTTTTTTTTACTTCAAATAATGCTCATAAACTATGGCATTTAAATGAAAGTAAAAACATAAGTTGTGGAGGTAATATTTTTTATAATAGGACTATATAGGTTCACCTGTCGTCAGGTTCACACTCCACCTCAGTCTTTTGAACAGGAGTAAAGGTTTATCCCTTGTTTCCTGTCTTGGATTGGGTTTCCAGTTCCTTCTAAAGTTTTCTTCAGCTCTATATTTCTAAAATCTCCACTGAAATTTTGAAATTTTATTTACAATTTATTTTTTTCCACAATAGGAATAGATAGCTTCTTATCATCCAGTTCACTCTCCTCACTTTTGAACAGGAGTAGAGGTTTATTCCCTGTTTTGTGTTTAGGATTGCATTTCCAGCTCCTTCTAAAGCCTTCTCATTCCCCTTTGCTCCCAGTAGCCCCCTTGTGTCTTAGTGGTATTATATATATATATATATATATATATATATATATATATACTTGACTCTCTCGTCGAATTTGACGTATGAGAGTCAAGCAGATCAGTTCCTAGGAAACTGACAGCCCAACAACAGCACATGAGATTTGATTATAATGGTGAAGGTTTTGTGCAGGACCATCCACACTTTTTGAAGGGCTGAATACAGAGACTTGGTGCACTACGTGCCACAGGGTCCCCAAACGATTTTTGAATTCAGAGTTGTCCTTCTCCTAGACAAGTTGCCATCCAAGGCTATAGTACCCAGTCTGTCCTGCTATTTATAGAGAGAGAGATTATAAAGTTGATGTGTGTAAAATAATCTGTACCATTGCATGCAGACGAATAAAAATTGAACAATGTTACAAAAGAAAAAAGCACACTCCCCCAACCAATTTTAGTCTCCACCTTTTCCCTCCCATCAACATCCTCACAGTTTAAAATACCTGCAGTTGTCTCTATCAGTTTGGTTTAGGTCACTCCATTAACTATTTATCAACACCCTGGCACTTCGAACATGATGACAATTGACTTGCTGGCAAGTTACCAAACTAACTTTACTTACTTCATTTGTTTTCTATGGCTTATCAACTCTTTGAAGGTTATTTAAAGCTGGAAAATACTTTTTAGATTCAAAGAATTGTTTTTGAGATAATAATGATTTAGTGATACAAGTCTTACTAATTAACCCATAGGTGAGGGGGAGAAGAGGTGGATTTATACCAAGGATATTTGTGTGTAAGTGAATATAACAAATCTGACTGGAATTGGAACCTGGTTCTCCAATTAACAATTCCGAGCCATTATCCACTACACTGCCTGCACGTCCATGTTCACAGCCCCTAGTATTCCCAAATGGTCACCCATCTAGGTACTGACCAGGCTTGACATTACTTAACTTCATTTGCTTAATTCATTTAGACACACACACACATTATATATATATAGATAGATAGATAGATAGATAGATAGATAGATAGATAGATAGATAGATAGATGGTGGGTAATTGAATAACAAAATGGAAAAAATCTTATGTAACACATTTTGTCCTTTGAAAAGACTTCTTCAGACTAAAACAGAGGTGGCCAAATTTGCTTAATGTTAAGTCACATATGATAAAGTTCAGATGTTTGAGACCCACACTCACTACACCAGCGAACCCAAATCTTAAATCCCCTTACCCATGAAATAAGTCTTCTGACATTCCTCTGTAACCCTTGCTGAATGGAAATTTCTTTAATACCACTGCTTCCCACCATTCCTTCCCTCAGCACTAAAGAACAATACCTCACGCAGATCTAGCATTAAAATTAGGATTTAAATTATTAATTGTTTTTACTAACCATGAACATTAAACTTACATTTTAATCCAATGGGTTCTCAATTTATACCCAGTAAATAATTAAAAAACTTGAAATTTTTTTTATTTACCTTTTTATATTAACTGTGATGAAAAAAGGAGCTCAGCCAACATGATTAAAGATCAAAGAGCTGCATGTAGTTTGCAAGCTGTAGTTAGGCCACCCCTGGATTAAAACAACACATTTTAAACTATATTAAAATCTAAATATATAGTTAAAATCCATTAAGGAATATGGTTACATAATTACCCCATCCTGGGTATGACGATAAACTACATCCACGTCCTGGGTAAGATGATAAACTACGTCCAACAGCAAGGCCTCTGATCAAGAGGTTTTGAGGAGTGTGGAACCACCTCTTAATTGCTGGTGTTTTCAGGTCCACCCTGACCTGGGGTGGTAGCACCTTTTAGGGTCCCAACTATGGGCAAATAGTTAACCCTTAAACTGGGGTTAAAGCACTATGAAAGTGTAAAAAAAGGTTTTATTACCAGCAATAAATTTTTTGAAGGATAAATTATTACCAGCAATACATTTTTGAGGAGAAAAAATATTACCAGCAATAAAAATCTTGTCGGCATTAAATAACCCACTGAAGTTGATATGCTGTAAAACAAACCAAACCAAACATAATTATCTGTCTGTACCTGAATGCATGCACTTGAATCACACATGCTCTTAATTAATTCTCAACTTCTAATGTCTCCGCATAAACTGAAATTTTATTTACTAATTTAAAAAAAACATTTCTTTTTATAAGAGTACATAGGTTCACCTAGTGCCCAATACACATTCCTTCACCATCTTTTGACCAGGAGTAGGGGTTTATCCCTTGCTTCCTGTTTCAGATTGGGTTTTCTCATTTCTCCCCTCCCCATAAAATCTTGTGTCTTAGTGACATTATTGCTTTGCTTGAGGTGAAACGATTAAAAACAAAATTCTAATAATTTTTATGATCGAATCATGTAGGGAGCCGAGGGAATGAAATATAAATTTTTTTTTTCATTTTGTCATTCATTTACCACCTGTTCTGATATATAAAGTTTAGAAATCATATTCACCCACAAATGCGTGTTTTAGTTATATATATATATATATGCATAGGTGTATGTATAGATTTTTTTTAATTTATTTCAACTTTACTTCCTTTTTTTTTTTTTTTCGTAAGTGAAAAATTATAATTTAAATTAATTCACTATTTGTAACCAATAGGTCTCCGAATTAAAAAAAAAAAAACAACAAAAGAAACATTAAAAACAAAGATCGTATTTACCGAAGTGTGAGTTGATAAATCAAGTGCTATGCAAGAAAACGTTTGAAACGCTAAAAAAACCGACTATACCCGAAAAAGCTAAAAACTACATTGCGGAAGTTAACTGTTAACTTTAATAAAGCAAAAAAAAGAAAAAGAAAAAAAAAACTATTAAAAAAAAAATCAACAATAAAAAATATAAATTGGCCAAAAAAAAAAAAAAAACTAAAAGTGAAACATTTTCTTTCTTTTGATTTGGGTTGGTCAATGTGACTTTCAATTCATCTTTGCTATATTTCTTCTTTTTTTTTTACTTTAATCACCACTGTGTGGTTCAGTCCTCAAAATTACTAATTCCAAACTAAAGTAAGTCATCGTAATAGGCAAGGGAAGTCATAATGATATTTTTTTGATTAACTTAGAAATTTCAAGTAATTTTTTTGTTATTTTTCCCGCCACCTGTAAAAAAAGAAAAAAAAAAGCGAAAAGAAAAGACAAAAATGAAAAAATATATTTACTCCCGCAAAAAAGTTATTTCAAGCGAAATACCAAAGAATTTTTTTCGTTTATTTTTCTCATCGGGGAAAGAAAAAGGGGGAAAAATGAATTTCATTACCAAGAATCAAATGTATTTTTTTCTTTTTCTGCAGAAAACAAACTTCTTGAAAATGCTTTCTTCTTTTTTTTTTTTTTTTTTAAAGAAGAAGAAAGCACTTTCAAGAAGTTTTTTTTTTTTTTTTAAAAAAAAAAATTTTATAGTTCAGAGTTAAACAACAAACTTTTCATAATTTTAACGTCAAATGGAAATGTAATTTTAAACGTTTATAACGATCCTGGACATTTTTTAACTAAAAAAAAATCTGATATAGAAACTAGTAAATAATAAAATATATTTCGTGCTATAAATACCTTCAACTTTCATTCGTCGTCAGGGGAGACCGCTTAAACAAAACATTCTTTTTATTCCAAGAGAGTTACACTAAGGGGAGGTCACTCTCATTTATTTTTCAGGAAGTTCTTCGTTTTCAGCAGCTTATTTGGACTAGTCGTGATATTTTTTTTTTTTTTTCGGGTTAAACACGTTCGGTTAAAAACTAAACGAGCTTGATCAGGAAGAATCTAATTTCGGGGCAGTATCTCCTCACTGCACTAAAAGGGTTGCACTGTCAGCTTTACGATACAAGCCACGGGTGTGGGGGAATTGTTTTTTTTTTGTTTTTTTTTACTCATACGCAATTGAAACTACGGACTTCCTAAAATTAAAAAAAAAAAAAAAAAAAACGCGCCCTGTCAGCTGGGGCTTCAATACGCCGACTGCACCTCTGCACGCCCCCACATACGCATACAAACACCAATGAGACGTTCTGGATATGACGATAAACTACATCCGGCAGCAATGCCTCTGATCAGGATTTTTGAGGAGCGTTGAACCACCTCTTAATGGCTGTTGTTCCCGAGTTCACCCTGACCCGGGGTGGTAACACCTGTTAGTTAGGATCCCAGCTATGGTCAAATTGTTAACTCCCAAACTGGGGATCAAAACACTATGAAAGTGTAAAAAAATCAATTTTTGTAGTAAAAATAGCATTTCTGAAAAAAAAAAAATGTATTACCAACAATATATTTTTGAAAAAAAAATGTTACCAGTAATAGATTTTTGAAAAAAAATATTATTAGTGGCAATACATTTAACTCTCAACAAAAACCCTCTTTACAAAAATATGTAAATGAAACCTGATCTACAAACTGATTTCTTACAAATAATATTCTATTCATATGAACTTATAAAAATCTTGTCAGCATTAAGTAGCTCATTGAGGTAAAACAAAATAAACCAGACCAAACCTAAAAAAAATTAAATAAAATGTGTTTCAGGAAGTTAAATTTAGGTTTTATTTTAAAGATAATATGCTAAAGCTAATCTATGTGAAAAGAAAAATAAATTTCCGTATATAAATAAAGTTTTTAGATATTTTGAAAACATTGGCACATCAAACTCGTCAACTGATTGAACCATCATTATAGACGAAAAATGTATGTAAACAACAAATTTAAAAATATCTTTAAAATCCAATATTTGTCCTAGAGATATATTTCAAAGCAAATTAGTAAATTTATGGATTAATTAACTGGATTTTTGTAAAAATAATTGGTGCTTTCTGCTTAAAACAATGAAAATAATATTTGTTTATGCATGGTAGCTTGTGACATAATAGATCACAATAATAGTTCTATGGGAGTTGACTGATTTCTTGGGTTGTTTGACTGAGGTCACAGTTTGTGTCAGCAGAGAGGTCTGGAGCAGATTAGTGAAGCCAAGTGGGTGTCATTGGTGGGGTTTGACATACACCTTTCTTCAGGGTTGAAATCAATACCTGTCATGTGTTTGATAGTCTGGTGGTTGTGTAACAAGATTAAAGTGTTGAAGCTGAACTGCTTTGTAAGGTAGGTTGGTGGGTTAGTTAATTGAGGTCATGGTGGCGGGTTGATTTGTGGTAAGGTGTGTTGGTTGCCAAGGTAACGTTGGTAGCAATGAGGGATTAGGTATAGATAGTTAATGTTGATCATGAGGAAGGTCTTAGCTGGATTCTGGTCAAACATGGTATCAACAAGACAAGGTCATTATGGTGATGACAATGGAAGCCTGGGGTGGGTCGAGTAGAATGTTACTATTAGATTCTGGTTGAATGTAGTATCAACATGATGGTGATGACGAAGAAGGCCTGGAACTGGATGGTGATGATGGTGAGATGTTAGAAATCATGATGGTTGGTGTCAGGAGCCTGGCAGTGTTGAAGCTTGGGTGAGGCCACAGTTGTAATGAGAGAAGCGATCATGGCTTTGATGGTAACAGCACACATGCATACCAACAGGTGGCCTTTCATCCTGCAACTGTGTCAGTTATTACTCTAAATGAAAATAATATGATTTATCAAATTATGCAAGCACCAACTCCCATTTTTTGAGTTTTATTAAATTATTTTTTTCAAGGTTTGGGTTGAATTTTCCATTTGTCCATACTTGTTAGTGTATAATTTTTTTACTGAAATAAAAGTCTTGAGTGATTTGTCTTTATATAACATTAAAAAATTTTCATGAACACCCCACCTGTTAAAATGTTCTAATGATATATCAAAAAGGTGAGATGAAACTGACCCCACCCAAAATATTTCCATAAAGTTTTCTAATAAAATAACTTATTCTGGATACAATTCATTCATTGATGAATAAATACTGAAAATTTGGTTTAAGTTGGATACTTCCCTGATTTTTGCAAATTTTTAAAACCAGGATGTACAAGTTTTTGCTTTAAATTTGATAAAAATGCATCTAGAAAATAGTCAACTTCCAAAACCATTTTTAAAACTAGGAGGTACAAGTTTTTGCTTTCAATTTGGTAAAAATGCATCTAGAAAATGGTCAACTTCCA